AAACTTGATTTTTCATAACTTGTAGTCTTTAAAAGTGATTCCAAATGCTTCTACAAGGCAAGTTAATTGGTATAAACATAAGGTGTTACACTTTGTGAGGAGAAATCAAGGAGAATCATTATCCCTTGAGGTGACCGAATTGGACAAGTAGTAAAAGGTAGCATTGAATTGTAATTTGATTGTTTATCTTGCTGGTATAATGTGCTTATGTGAATTGCTTAAAGTAAGAAATTTATTTTGCAGGACTTTTGATTTTATGACATTTGATATGCTTTAGCTAAATGCATGATAATATATTAATGTGAAAGCGTGTTTGATTCCTTTCTTGATTTGATGAAAAGTGGTTTTATGTGACTCAAGCATGTCTGAAGTTTTAGGACATATCACATTATGCCTTCCTTGATTAACATGATGATTATAGTTCATTGCTACTGAGATTTTTATGAAATCTATTCCCCCATATGTTAAATTATGCAACAATAGGGAGTGGACCAAATATGGATAAGGGCAAAAAATTGGCGTGAGCTAGGGAGGCCATGGAGACTTTGTGACAATATATTAAGTTATGTTATATTTTGTTGAACTTTGCTACGAGCTTGTAATGGATTACGAATATGGAATGCTTTGACATTATGTAAATTATAATGATGTATGATAGTTTATAATCATGGTGTGATGTGTTGGAATGGATGGCAATTGGAAAAGAGAAAGGAAAATTGAAGAAAATATGATTTAGGGGATAAAAATGCCCTAAAAAGAGGCAATTTTGTGCCACATAAAATAATAAGCAAATGATGAAATCTAGACCTAAGATTTTTCAGGAAAATAGATCTCATTTTTAGCTTTAAATAAAGTGGTAGATGATTAAATTTGGAGTTTTGTGCTAAGAGTTATGCCCTTCCAAAGTTGGGCTAAAATCCTAGAAATTTGAAAATTTACCATATGAACAGTGCATTTTGTCGAATTTTCTAGTGCTATTCTAGATGGAATTTAATCTAATGAATTTTTTTTTATAGAACTCTTAGCAAGCTTTGTGTAAAAATTGGAATCAACTCGTTTTAATTTTTCTAGAATTAGTTATGAATTTTCAAAATTGGTCCAATTTCAAATGAGCAGTATATAGACAGAATAAAATGTGAAATTTTAAAACTGAAATTTTCTTCCGTAGACGCTAGAAAACACCCAATAATGTTCCAATTGACATATAATAGGGGAATAAAGGAGGTGTTACAAATATATGACTTGTTAATCACATTACTGAAATTATAAAAATGCTACTTTTTCAATTTCTTGAAAAACCTATTGTTATCACAGGTTTTTCAAATACTTGAGGAATTATCACAGGTTTTAAAAATAATTCTGTTCCCAGAAAGCGAAGAGGTTGGCTTTAATGGAATTTAAAACCTATTTACGTAATATTCAGAAAAAGTCAAAGTCAAAGGTCTAGAGATTGACTTTTGACTTAAGAAAAATTAAAGGAATTCCCCATGATGAATAAATAGTATTGGTACTGGAAATAGATTCTCGAAGTTGTGGACTAGTAGAAAGAATTCAGTCAAAATCACTCCGAAATATATATTATTAATTATTTTAATGTAAGAATAAGGGAAGAGCATCACTCTCTCTTTAGGCATGTCATATAATGCCATGTGCATTTATTTGAGGTGAGAAAATGGTGCCAAAACATGTCCCAGTGGTTCCGGATATGTCAGGACCTGAAAAAGTACTATGTACGGTATAGAATGGCAAGATAGGTGGAGGAATACCTAAGGGTGGTGTTTTGCACGAATTTTATATTAATTTCCTCCCTATTTTAATGTCTTAATGATAAAGGAATATAAAGGAAACAAGTGTATGGTTAGATGGGAAAAGAAGGTATTACATGTATGACTGAATGCAAGACACGTGTATGGTCAAATGCAAGACACGTGTACAGTCAGATTAAAATCATATGGATTGATGATGTAAGCATGATGCCATCATGATGAGGTTAAGCATGATGTTATGGGACACTTGTCACCATAAGATTAAAAGAGAAAATGGATGGTCCGGATCAAGCCACACATTTTTAAGATTAGTGGCCCAGATTCAGTCTTGTTTTCTATAAATACCCCCTCCCCACCCCTCATTTTCATGCAAGGCATGGCAACCTTGGGAAAGCTCTGGAGAAATGGTTTCTAGAGAGAGAAATAGGAGTGAGAAAGAAAGGCCAAGTGGTCATATACAAGATCAAGCTCTAAAACAAGATATGTTCATGGTTTTTGATGCAATTTTGATGCAATGTTCATGGATTTTAATTATTTTTGGGAGCTTAAAACTCTAGAGGGACATGCTGCACGAAATTCTTAGGAATAGGAAAAGATGAAATTGATGTTAGAATAATGTTTAAAGGCTTGAAAGCAACAAGAATCAAGTGGTTTTACGTTAAAATTGGTTGAATTTCTTGATTATGTAACTTGAGTAATATTTTGGCCAAGGCTGGTTCTTGGGGATAGGATTAGATTTTGATGCTTCCAATATGTTTAAAATGAAAAATTGTGTGGGGTAAAGGTGAGAAAACAAGTTTGGAAGCATTAAAATTGAAAATAGAATGTTGAGTCCTAAGACCCTATGTTCGGCCATATCAAGTTGAATAGGGAGGAGTTTTATTTTGATTATTTTGAGCTTGGAAATAGATTCTACATGAAAAATTGTGTGGGAATAGTGTGTGGAATTAATTTTAGAAAGGTTAGAAATCAAGCTCAAAAGTTAGAAGCTAATATTGCTCAAAGAAAAAAAAGTATTGATGCTATTGATTACCATGGCTCTAATAAATGAATGGAAATGATGTGTTGATATATTTACGGCCATAAGACATCAAGGAAAAGGAGTGACAACGGTTGAGGAAGCAACCTTAATGGTTCGAAGCAAAAGAGAGCAAGTTGAAGACCAAGAGAAAACTTATGATATAAGGTAGCGAACTTACCTTTCTTGTATGCTTGATGTGTATGTGTGTATGTGCTATGAATGCCATGATATGACTAAGCTATGCTACTTAGTTATGATTGCTATGTTTATGTTAAGTATGCTTTAGCATTATGTTATGTGAATATGAATGAATTGGCTTACTTTCCATGGCATGACACCATGCATGAACGATAAAGTTATGTGCACAGAAGCATGTCATACACTTGCATCCATCTTGCATGCATAAATGGTAATGTTTGCTACTAAGATTCTCTTGAATCTCACCTTTCCTTAACCAACCATAATAGGTGATATGATCAAGCAAAGAATGCTTGAAGTGGAAGCAAGAAAAGAAGAAAAGATTTAGGAGAATTTGTTGTATTATGTTGTACACTGTACATACCAATGTATGTTGTAAATGTGCCATAGATGGTATGTGATGATAAATGATGATGTTGGCTTATGTAATTAGCTATGATAATGTATGGGAATGGTTAGTATATGAATGGAATGGTATTATGTATGGAAAGTTTTAATCATGAACTGTTAGTGCAAGTTAGGGGATAAGCTATCCCTAATTGAGCAACAAAATACTGACAAAGTAGAAGTATGGAAAATAACTGACTCTATCCATGAAATTTGACATGATTAAAGTACACATTCTGAGCTTTAAAACAAGTGGTAGATCACTTAAAACGGATGTGTGTGCTAAGAGTTATGATTGGTCAAAGTTAGACTAAAAATCTAAAATTTATCAGTAAACAGTAACCCATGAACCAGTCACAAAGTTCAATCTACGGGCTTGTTTTGTGAATTGCTTGAACCATAACGCTTCTAAACACGTACTCTGAGGGGTTAAAGGTAGGATGTTTCATTAATGGTAATACCAAATTTGTTAACAGCGTTAAGAAAAACTTGTTAAGACATTAAATGACTTGAAAATTAAAGTTTCCCATTTATGATGTCATGACTAATCTCTCAAAGTGTAAAAGGTTCTTATATCATATGGTTAATAGCGTTATGAGAGTTGTTAATATCATTACATGACTTGTTAACTGTGTTACTCAAGTTGTAAAAATATCACTTTTTGAATTTTCTGGAAAACCTGTTGTTAACGATGATACCAAACTTGTTTATAGTATTAGAGGACTTGCTAATCGTGTTACTAGACTTGAAAAAAAATTCCTAACTGGTAAGGGTGCTTGATAGTTTTCTTTTTTAAAAGTAAAAAGTAATATAGTCAATTCAGCAAATTTGTACCTAAACTGGAATTTTATTTATTGGGGTGGCCATTTGGGAATTTTCAAATTTAACAATCAATTTTCTGGAATTTCTTCTATTTTATCTAGGATGGAAGTGGGAGAAAATTTTTGAGCATTATTTTAATTTCGATACTTATATTATGATTTTAAATTTTAATTTTTTCTGACTTTTCATCTTTATAGTTAATAAGGTATATATTTTTAAATTATTAGACTTAAATTAAAATTAAAATTTTCTTTTAATTCTTCCGTTCCTTTTCAGTTCACACATACGTAAAAGTGTTAGTCATCAATTAACCAATTGTTATAAAAATAGCTTATTTACGAACCAAAAACTCTTGGAATGACGATTATATAATTAACTTGTTTAATTTCACCCAAGTCACTGTTTTTCCATTTTGCACGGACTAACAAGTAACAAAAGCGAAAGTTCTTCTAGTTTTTCACTTTCTTGCTTCAATCATCACCGTCACAGAAATGAAGAAAAATATATCGCTTCCAATAAGTTATTAGATGGAAAACAATGATAGACAAATCTAATAGAATATTCAATTTTATAAAACTGAGAACTTTTATACATGTAAAAAGGACGCTCCCAAGATCTGACAAGCAGACCATAGCTGTCCTAATAATATATCAGACCGAAACAGATAACTCTTGTAAAAGCATTTCTCACATATAAGACATGGTCTTAACGTAGAAAAATCTACGTGAGAAAACAATAATGTGCAAAAATCTCCCGTATTAATCCACTATACTGACACTCACATATGCTTGATGGTGATGAAGCCTTCAATTAGAGGTGATGATGAGGAAGATGAGAATTGTAGCAAGAACGATTGGGAAAATCAATATCAATGGCAATGTTGGTGGGGAAACAGGACCCATGAAAAGGGGCATAAGAAATTGTATAGCGACGATGATGAAAAACGCTATTATAGAGCCAGGTCCCCAAATTTTTGGTTGCTCCATTAGTTTTCCACTCCGAAGTATGAAGAAAATAGAGGATGTGGCGATCAAAATTGGTGAGGCAAAGCAAGTGGAGGCGTTTGATCATATATATAAACATAGGGCTTGATGCGTAATGTGAATAGTGCCTGTTGGTGAAGGGACACGAATATAATCACGATTGGAGGAATTAAATGATTTCCACAAGTGCTCAGTTGTATTTGAATCTGCCCATTTCATTCATATATATTCATATTTATCTTGTATCTTTAGATTTTGGAAGGTTTTTAAAAGGATATTGAAATTCATTCATTCAGTTGAAATAAAAGAAGATTATGTACGATGACCTTTAAAAAACATTAAACGAATCTTCACTGCTAATATCTATACCCTTCACCACCCTTTTATCCTATTATATTCTTTATATTCCTTATTTTAGGTGGCTATCTAAATAAAATCCCTTACATTCTCATAAATAAATAAATATATAGTGCCTTAGAATGTCACATTTACAATCATTTTCTTTTTGTCACGTTTAGAGAATTTTACATCATACTCGGCCATTACCACTCGAGTTAGCCTCAAATTATATAATACTACCCATGTCCTTAATATATGAGTTAGTTGGGGATTGGATTTGATCCTAAATATCATACTTCAATTCACTTTGTCTCTCATCTTTTTCCAAAATATTCTTATTAATTGTTAGGAGTTCCCACCCAGAGATAATTCCAATTATCCAATGTACATAAGGAGGATAATTTAGAAAGAACAACATATGATTGTTACAAATAATAAACTTAACTTATTTTTTTAATATTCTCAAATTAGTAATATAACTCTTATATTAAAAACTGAAGGTAATATATGTTTTTGGTATCTCTTTAAGAAAACATATGGATGGATTTAAAATAAGAAAAACTAATTTAGTCGATGTCTTTGACATGGGGGTGTGTGTCTATGTACTAACCAAGTTAACTAAACTAATGTCTTCCTTTAGTCCAACAGAAAGAAAAAAGGACCTCAAAAGGAAGGGCACGGAATTGATCCCTCACTATTATAATTCCTTGTTGCACAGGTCTTCATAATTTTTACATCAACCATATTGTTTAATTCTTCCTTTTGCCACGAGATATACGTAAAAGATAATTTACAAGTTTAAAGGAAATTGTTTATATCTATCTATTTAAATCCTATTGAAACATGTAAGAAAGAAAATTATAGATGACTAAAAAGCAAATTTGGATGCCAAACACCTAATATCTTTAATAAGTTATTGAGAGTATACATACCAGCTTGGTTTAGCGGTGAAAGCACATGTAATCTCGTTTGAGCCCAAAAAATGTGATTATAAAGCTCATTTTCACTGTTTTGGTAAATTTCTTGAAACCTCGATCAATTGCAATTTTAATGCCGTGTGGTATGGCGAGCATATGCAACAAGAGAGGTGTCTTTTCGTTAGAAAAATTCCAATGGAGCCTCATTTCTATTCACCTAGATATCCTACACATATTTTTGCTATTTAAATATTATTCTTTAGTTATAATTTTGATCAAACATTTCATTTCCTTACATATGCTGCTAAATTTGCTAATAAGTGTCAACACTATTATTCATTTTCATGTGTTTCTTATTTAATATTTGATGTCTTTCATCTAATATTTGCACATCATATAAAGTTTTACATTATGTTGTTGTTGATATTTTATTTTTAATAATAATTATTAAATAAAATATATATTTAAATATTCATATCATTTATTAAAATAAAATGAATAATTGTTAGTAAATATAGTTATGGAATGTAAATAACTTTATAAGGTCCATGCCTTTTTTAATAATTATATATCCATAAGTGATTTTAGCAAACGGAATTCAAAAATCAAAATTTTCAAATTCACTAGCAAAAAAATTCAAAAAAAAAAATCATGATTAACCAACATCACTACTAATCAATGTCATGTCTAAAACATACTCATCTAAAATTACATTTAATCACCCTTAATGCAAACAAGCACTAAATCATCATTGGAAAGGATAATAATTCAGGGTATTTCAAGAACATTGGGTGTATAAAGGCAAAACCATCTTTTTGTTGAAAGGTGGCCTTAACAATGGTGAAGAAATATTTTACCATGGCAAAAGGTCATGTCCAACTATATATATGAACAGGCTAGACATACTTTGAGGTTAGGGTTTTTGCTAGTGGCTAATTTATACTAGGGACTTCTGTATTTTGAGATCTTTGATGTGATCTAGAGCTTAAAAAACACTTTTTTAAGGATGAGAAATTTCTTCCATCTTTTCTTCTACTCTTTGGATTTTTCATGCAATTTCATGAAATTATGTGGTAGGTTCTAAGCTTGGCAACTAGTGATTCAAAATTTATTGTTTTGAATTCTTTGGTTCTTCCTTCTACTCATAATTACATGCTATGGTTGTTTAGATAATTTGTTCTTAATAGCTTTCTGGTTTACTTTCTTGAAAAACCTAAAGGTTTCTCCATTGGCCGGTTAGATGATGCACGTAACACATCTTGCAATTTCCACCCACGTGTGCTTATGTTTTTGAGGAAAAGTAGTAGGGACTAAAATATTAAAACTATTAAATAGATTTTATTGTTCTTACTACATAATGGATTTCTTTAGGTGAAATGGCGTATCCCTCATCATGAGAATTTTATAGGGTACCCAAATGTTAGCTAAATTTATAAAAGATGGAGTTATCAACGGTCTCTTTAAAATGTTACCATGGGATAAGGGTAGACGATTTCATTGTCAAGAGTAGTAGATGAGGTATTCATTATAGATAACATTCATATGGGGAAGAAACCAAGGTACAAGATGCATGGGAACTACCGCTAGAGCATTCGCTACAAAACATATCGACTTTCAGCGGTGACATAAGTCACAGCTAAAAGTCAAAAAGTCACAACTAAAGGTTTTTAGCCGTACAAAAAGTTGTTGCCATAGCAACTGTTGCTAATACTTATTAGCAGCAACAAAATGAGCCACTGCTAAAACTATACTTTTAGTGGGGACTATTTTACGGCTGAAAGTTGTCAAATCCTATTAATTTCTAATATGAAAAATAGGAAATCTAGGATTGATTGAGGGTCAGGTAGTGTAGTAGAAACATAGATGAAACAACTTTTAAAATAAGACCCAGGGAAGAACCTAACCATCATTTTGAAAATGTCGGTCAAGAAAGAGCAAAATGAAAAATTATGCCCAAAATTTCTAAAAATTTTCTAAAATTTTTCAAAATAAAATAAAGGGTCTATGACAGTGTTTGAGGCCTGAAAGATGAAAATAATTTATCTTAGAATTTTCTATAACTTCATAGAATTTTGGCTAAATAAGGAAATATTGGACAAAATGAATTATTTAAAATGTGTAGAGGCCTCAAATATTCATGGAAAAATGAGAAAAATTATTTGAGAGGTTGTCATAAATTTTAAAATTATTTTTAGCCTTTGGAGATGTAGAAGTTAGCTTTAAAATATTTAAAGTCAAATTATATTGGTAAAAGGCATATCCTAGAAAAGATTTAATTGAAGGAGTTGTGGGTCAAAATAAAATCTAAGAAAATTTAAAAAAACCTCTCCTCATCAAAAGGAAGCTATTGGCATAAAGAAATGAATTTCTAGAGGTGTTAGAGTTAACAGGATCCAAGCAAAATTCAACCGATATTATGAGATTATACAGTGTAATAAGTATAAGGTTGGTGGAACAAAATTTTTTTCCATTTTTTTCATTGAATTGGTGGCAACAAGGAGGAGGGAGGACCTAAGTGGAATTATACATATTGTTGAGGGAAGAATGAAATTATTGAAAAAAAATTGTCATTTTTCCCACATTTGTGATAGGTGGCATTTTGAAGTGTCCTATGAGATGGCATTTTCATTCAATAAGGCGGACACCTTAAGGCCTCATGTAGCATGATCTAAGGGAGGAAGAAGCAAGATTTGAATAAGTGTTATGTGGTGAAAGTAGATGGTGAAATTAGAAGATTACCATGGGGTAACTTTGCTTGTATTATAAATACCTCTTTCCCTTCCTCATGACCAAAGTTTCTGCTAGACCAAGAGTGAAATAGAAGGAGAATATTTTTGTCCAAGGAGGAAGAGGATATCAAGCCAAACCATAGGTCAAATCAAGTGCTAAACCAAGGTAAGAGTTTGGATTTTCTTCTAGTTTGTGATGTCCTATGATTTGGTAGTTTTAAATATGGTTTTGATGGAAGTTGGATGATAGAAACCCTAGGGTTTGGTGCTGTTTAGTTGGGTTCATGATGAGTTAAGACTGATTTAAAGGTTGTATAAGGGTTAGGGAATAGAAAATAGTTGGAAAATTGTGTTTAAACTTTATTTTAGAAAGAACTCTGACTTGTGAAGCCTAAAGGTACAATTCAGCCAGACCTAGTTCATTAAGCTAGGGCTTTATTTTTGTTAATTTGATGCTTTCAATGAGTTTAGAATGTGAATTTGTGTAGGGATATGTGAAGAACATGTGTTTGGAAGTATTAAAATTAAAAATAAAATTTTTGAATTCCAAGGGGTACCTCTTGGCCAAGCATGGTTGTAGGAGAGGGAATTGGATTTTGATACATCTAAGTTCACATATAGATTCTACATGAAAAATCATGTAGGAAAAGCATGAAAGTTAAGTTAAAAAGATGATGCTAAAACCCTAAATAAAAGTCAAAAGGTCAAGGTTTTAGGTTAAAGTGTTTAATGGAATTGTTAAAGTTGAATAGAATGCTATTATTGTTGTTTGATAGGCATTAGAATTGAGCAAGAAAGAGCTCAAGAATAAGAGAAAGAAATTAAGGAATCAAGTTTAGAAAGAGGTAGCAAGAACTTACAATTTTGGTATTGAATTGCATTGGTTGTCTATATTATGAGTATGTGCTATGATGTGGTCGAGTTATGAATGTTGAAATGTGTTTAATTCCTTGCATTGATATCTTGGCAAACATGTATAGTTGAGTTGTTGAATAGTATGTTATGTGCTCACTTTTCA